TTATGTGCTTCTGTCCCAGGTCTTGGAAATGTCGATCCTGACCTTTGACTCTGTGTGCCAGTATTTCCTTTTCTAGCTTTCGAACATTCAGTGAGTTCCTTCAGACCAGGAACATTTTTGTGTTGATTGTGAAGCTTTAATTTTCACAGGAGAATAATCATGGTTTTTCCTACCTCCAGAGGCTGGGGTCACAGGGGCCAAGGGAGGAGAGAGCTCCAGGGATGAAGTGGTCAGTCAGCTGTGAGAGTAAGGTGGGGCCAAGAGGCGCTGCGGACTCATTAAGAGAGGGTCAGCGGTGTGGCCCCCGTGGGAGAACATTCTGCTCTGGCCTCTGCGCGTTCCACATGGATCCCCGCCGTGGGCTGGGGCATCAGGGGCCTCCAGCTGCTCTGGAACCTGCTCAGACTTTTCAGAGCCCCGGGGCCTTGGCGGTGCTGCCCTGGATCGCCTTTCCCCAGCCGCCCAGACATTAGGTCCCGGTTCAAATGTCGTCTCCTGACCACCCTCTCCACTCGCTCTCTCTCTTTTAATTCCTTCACGGCTTCTATCAAATTTACCATTACGTGGCTTATTTACTTGTTTAGCATCCGTCCCCCTGCCCCCCCACCCCCCGTGAGCAATGGCAGCTCTAGAAGAGCAATGGCCTCTGTCTAATTCCCAGTGCCTACCACAGTGTCAACACAGAGCAGGTTTTCGATGAATATTCATTGAATGAGTGGACAACTGAATGGATGGAGTAGGCAAGTGCAGATGGATTTCTGAAGTCATCTCTCTGGAATTCTATCTCCTCATTTGTCAAAAGGGGTGGGAACTCCCCTGTGGCCCTTTTCAGCCATGCATTCCTGGCCCTAGATACGATCCTTAGCTTAGCAAAATCCGTTCTTTTTGGGTGCAACGCTGACAGTGACCAGTGGGTGGCAGCAAGATACTATAGTTGAATCGTGACAAGACTGGGCCCCCTTGGCACAAAACACCTGACGTTTAATCTCCCAACAGCCAAGCTTGTTTATTTTCACCATCGGAAATGCAAGACTTTCTTAAACACAGTGCCCTGCTGCCCAGAAAGGAGAACAAGGAACGGACAATTTAATTTGGATCCCAGCTCGGCCCCTTACATGGCCCAGAGGAATTCACTTCTGTGAGTGGAGGCCATTCGGAGCTCACAGCAGATAAAGAATGTGGAAGGACAGCTTGCGGGGTCAAGAACGGGCTTTGAGGACTGCAGGGGGCTCACGGCCTGGGCGGAGCCTGCACTTGCAGAGACCCCCATGAGCTCCCCCCACTGGAAGCAGCCCCCTCCTCCCTTGACTCTCCTCACTCCCACCACCCCCACCCATTCTGCACCTGCACCCAGCAGCTGAAGAAAAGCACCACGTGAGCAGCCTCACTCTAAACTGACACCTGCAAACCTCACGTGGGCACCTGGGCTGGCAATGGGGCCCATTTCACCGCTCCGTTCAGTGCCCCACCCCTGTGGTTTTCCCTCTGGGGAAACAAGCCTCTCCTCAAAACACCAAGAACCTCCCCCACCTCCTTCCGCTTGGCCTTGTTTCTTCTTCCGCTGAGAAGAGAGCCCCACATTCTCCCACCAACCGCGCCCTCCGTGTGCCCTGCCTTCCTGCTGTACCTGGAGGCTCTGTCCCAGCTCCCACCTGGGGCACATCCTCTCCTCACACACAGGACACTAACCCCTCCCACTCACCCGAGGACTTTTCTCTTGGGATTCTTTCCTTTCTCATCTGCATCGTAATTATCCCGTCTATTAATCAGTCCCATAATCTACAAACAAGACCTAATATTTCTCCTCTTAAACCCTGGTGACCCTACAAGAACACCTTCCAGCCACCCTCCTGTCTCCTGCTCCCCTCTACAGCACAGCTCCCTGGAAGAGGAGCCCACCCTCCACACCCCCCGCCCCTCCCCGCCACCCTCTCTGGACCCCACTTCCACCCACCGTCCTTGGCATTGAAATCCCATGGTGAAGGTCATCAGTGGCCTCCATTTTCCCAACTCTGTCCTCAGCATTCACCTCACCCACACACAGTTGAAGGTTCCTTCCTCCCTGAAACTTGTTTTCTCTTAGTTTCCGTTACCTGTGTCTTCTCTATGGACTCTCACTTCCGGGCTGGGCTGGGCAGCCCCGGAAATGTAAGGCCCAGCCAATGGTATGATGCACATGTCCATACCTCACTCCCCTGTTCATGCCTCTCTCCCATGTTCACATCTCACTCCTCTCAATTTGAACCCCCTAACCTGCTCCCCACCCCGCAATGTCCCCATTTGCGGACTGGCCTGACCAAAAGCTCTAGAGTCGTTCCCAACTCCTCTCTGCCTATACCCCACACCTAACCCCTCAGAAAATTCTTCTGACTCAACTTTTATAGTCTTCCTCGAGACTGAACCTTCTTACCAGCCACACCATGACCACCCAGCATTTATAGGGGTTGGCAGGAGCCCCTCAAGTTCTCTGTGCATCTTCTCATTGCACTGACCTGTTCAAACCCTTTAGGATCTTCCCTCTCCCTCGGAAGAGTCAACGCCTTGACTCACCAGGAGGCTTGAGGACATCAGCCCTGGACCCTCCTCCTTCCTCATCTCCAATACCTCCTCTCACTCACTCTGCTCACCCACACAGGTCCCCTTGCCTTTTCTGAAACACTCTCCATCCCTGACCTGTGGACCTGCTGTTTCCAGCGCTGGAACTCTGACCCAGCTAACCACACAGCTCCCTTCCGGTCTCTGCTCACCTCCCAAGTCCTCAGAGAGGCCTCCCTGCCCCTCTACCTAAAATAGGACCGTCCTTTATTCTTTCCTATCCCCTTGACCTGTTTTGATTTTTCTTCACAACACTTGTTGCTTCCACTTTATTTTATCATTTTTGTTTGCTCCTGCTCCGATTTTCACAGCTGGAAGTTAGGGTCCATGAGCGTGGGTTCTGCACATCTCATTCACCATGTGTCACATTGCCTAGAATAATGCCATCACGAGCTAGGCTCTCACGTTTTGTTTTATGAATGGAGGTAGGATGGATGAATGGATCAGTGGATGGATTGGTCAATGGATGGATGAGTGAATGGATAGATAGATGGAAGGATGAAAGGATGGAAGGATTGATGAATAGATGGATGGATGGGCTAATATTGAGAATTCTACAGGACTGCATCCATAGAGCAAAACACAAAACACTCCAACAACTCTTGCCTATGAATATAACTTTATGGTTACCTAAAGCCCACTCATATCTGTACTTTCAGACACCTCTGAGAGGGCAAGCGTGGTTATTATTTCCACCCCAAGTTTTCCGGACCTGGGAGTAGAGGAACGGGTAACAGGATCGGATGGCTGCCCGAGGCCTCGGGTTTCCTCAGGGGCATCTGCTCATCCCTTCTCCTCAGGTGTCCGTCCGGAGAATCTCTTTGGCACAAGGATGCTGGAAAAGACCTCCGATCGTGGCTGAGTGGTGGAGGCAGCATTAAGATTGGTGTGGCTGACTGGTGGGTGACAAGGACCCTTTGCAGAAGGTAAGGATCAGAGAAGTCAAATCAGGTGACATTTGAAAAGGCACAGGACACAGGAAGTGACTGGGTTTGGCCTCTGGGGCCCACTCCACCTTCACTCGCTGCAGGAACATGACCAGTCATACTAATGTGTCCCTACCTGCACCTCTGCCAATGTCCTCGCCTGTGGAACACATTCTCTTTTTCCAGCTCAGAATTTCCCAAATACTGTTTCTCAAGTTTCAATGTCCTTGGGGGACACAAAGTGGCATCTACCTTATTTTGGAGTTGGGTATTTCTACTCCTTGTCCTCCCACCTCCCAAAAAGAGTGTTTCTGAAGGCCAAGGCCGGGTCAGGCGCCCAGAGGCCTGGCCTGTGAGCTGTGAGGCCCATGCAACGCACGCTCCCGGAGGACGCCCCGACCATGGGGTCGGGGGTGGTCTCTGAGCAGGAGGGGCCCCGGGTCAGGGCCAGCCTGAGGCAGGGCTCTGGGCATGAGCATGTGCATTTCCTGACTTAATCTCCTCAACAGCCCTGCCAGGAAGGCACTAACATCATTTTCACACCATTGATGGAGAAACTGGGGCTCTCATCACACCCAGTTTGTAGTGGAGCCTGGATTCATTCCAGGCCGGACCCCAAAGCCAGTGTTCTCGCCATTAGAACGGGGCCTAGAGTTCACGTAAACCTTTCTGGAACAACACAGAGGTCATTAACTGGGTATAAGGAAGGATGAAAAAAATCCCAAGGTACCGGCCAAGGCAGGTTGCTTGACACTCCAGGATACAGCCTTCACAGGGCACGTGTAGTAATGACACTAGTTTCTCAGCTCTACCCCACCCCAGGGGCAGGGCGTTGGGAGTGGGGAGGGTGGGGTCGACTGCCCTAAAGAGCCAGCCTATGCTTCAGACTGACTTTGGGAGAAAAGGCCATTTTGAACCCGAAAAGTTGTCTCATTATTTCAGAAGCACCCAAACCTCTGCTCCCCACATGTTACTCTTCCCAACCCCCACCTCCACCCCCAAGCTTTCCCACATGGGTGCACCCAAGTGCCTGGAGCAACTCCATTCCGCCAGGTCCCAGCTGAATGTGCTGTCTCCAGCAGGCAACTGTGGAACGGCTGTACCAGTAAAGGGTGTTCTAGAGCCCTCTCCATAACCTCGGGGGGTGAACCCTGTGTGGGGCTTACAGAAGGCCCTTGGGCAGAGGCTGTGAGGGAGTCTGAGGCTGGTAGGGAAGGGACGTCTGATAAGGGAACCGGGAAACAGCCACAAATGGTCAGAGTAGAGTCGGGGCTTGGCCAAGGGCTCGGGCCATAGCTCTGCCCGCTGCTGTGCACAGAGGCACCTAAACTTCAGAGCTGTCAGAGCCGCCCGGGTGGGCTGCCTTGGACTCATCTGGGTAGTGGGTGTAATAGGGTCAACCCCATAGGCCGTGTTAATGTCAGTCGGACCTTTCCTGGGGCCCGAGAGGGGAGTACGGTATTTCCTGGATCTGGGAACTCAGAGCTCAGCCACCAGATCCCTGTGCCAGTCAGATCCTGGTGAGAGCATCTTTGTCATTCCACCCAGACACCTGAACTCGGGTCCCATGGCATAGGAGATGGAGGTGGACAGGAAGCTGTTGAAGATGGAGCTCATGACCCAACTATAGGTGCCCATGGAGGGGAAGATGAGCCAGGTCCCCACGTCCAGCTCGGGCAGCTGCACCTCCTTCTCGAAGAGCTTGTCAAAGGCATCACACGTGGGGCCATAGGGGATGCAGGGGAAGAGGGGCGGCTTTGAGCCGAGCTCCTGTGGGGACACATGGATGGGGAATCAGAGACGGGAGAGCTCTTCCCCCCAATCCATCCTCCAAGCCCATGCCCTAGGCCAGCAGAGCATCCCCAGGCATAAGTGGGAAGACACCAGCAAGGAAACTGGCAGCCAGCCATACCAACCAATTATTGAGCAGTTCCTACATGGTAGGCACTATTCTTGACCCCGCCTTCATGGAGCTTATTCATGTCATTCAAGTGACACAGTCTAACCTTGCCAATTTATATGGGCAGACACAGATGTGGCCTCAGCTTCCCTTCTATAAAATCAAAAGTTTTTAGTCAATAATCACTCAAAATACTGGGCCTCAAACTCAGCTGCACATGGGAATCACACTGAGGAGTTTTAACAAAGGACAGATGTCACGTCCTGACCCATGAGAAGTTCTGATTTCAATCATCTGGGGGTTGGCTCAGGTCTTTGAAAACTTCCCAGGTGAATCCACTGTGAAACAGTGTTGGAGAATCTCTGTTTCCTAGGTCTCCTGCATCTCCAACATTCAAGGATTCTGCTAACACACCCCCACACAGTGCACACAGAGAGCTCGCATGGGAGCCCAGACAGACAGCCTGCACACACACCCACACGGAGCCATGTACCTGCCCACACACCCACCTGTGCAGGTGTAATCAGCATGCTCACACATAAAGCCACACCCACAAAAGAGGTGACATGCAAATATAAACAGGCACGCCTGTGCACATCCTTACGCAAGCACGTGGTATGTCAGTCTGCAAAGCCATCTCTAACCGAAGACCCTGTGCCTCTACCTCACAAAGGGACCCCCGTCTCGCAGGGAAGGGGGCTGAACTGAGTGCTCTCATGGTCTGAGAGGTGCCAAAGCCACACAAGAGCCCACCACGATTGGCATCCTGGGGGCAATCTCCCTGAGGCAGATTCGGAAGATGCCATAGGGGCCCTCGTTGAGCTGGTACAACAGTTTCTGGTGGCCTCCTTTCACCAGCACGGTGCTGATGGTGACCTGCTTCCTCAGGCACAGCCCAGGGGACCGGGACCTGTGGCGTCCTCGGCTGCCAGGAAATCTCTGTGTTAGAACAGCGCTCGGCCCAGGTCTCAGGGCCAGGGGAAGCACTCCTGAAGGTTGTTCCTCCAAACCTCGGCCAACGCCGCCCACTCAGCCCGGCCTCCCAGGCCCTGGGTGGCCCACACAACAGGCCCGAGGGTGAAGTCAGACCTCGGTTATAAGAGGACATCAGCCGCAATCAGAGCAGAGGGACACTGGGAACGCTGTCACCCACCCATCTCACCTCAACGATATAAAAACTGTGGGGCCCAGAGATCTTCGGATGTTTCAGCAAAGCAGGAGTGGAGCTGGGGTAGAACCTGACCCCGGGCTGCAGCCCCGCTGCCCAGAGCAGGAGCTCCTCTCTCCCGCGGCTGGCCCCTGCCTCCACTGCACATTTAAATGTGTCCGTGGGGGTTTCTGTTTGGAGAAGTGAGCCTTCTGCGTCATCACTTGGTGTTCGGTAATAGTAATAGTCTCCCTTCTCTCCACCTTCCCTCCCCACAGGCGTTGCTGAGGTCTTCCTCTCTCGGCCTGCCCAGGATCAAGCCACCCGCTAGGGCAACTCCGCCTCTGGCATGTCACTGCTAATCCCTGCAGGCCTACATTCGCCCTCCTCTGGTTTCTGGAAGGAAGTTCAACAGGCCTCTGCTGCTACCCTGACTTTCCTCCACTAGCCCTGTCTGTCATCTTCCTGCTTGAGGCCTCCAACCCCATGCCCTCCCAGCAGGGGCCAGCGCCCCACCTGAACACAGCCTCAGGCTCCGGGGACTCAAAAGTCTAGGAAGTGACAACAGGAAGGGCCTGGATTGGAAGGGGGGACTTGGGAAATCTGGAGCAAATCTCTCCACTTTCAGGGGCCTCATAAATTCCATCCGTAGAATGATGGAAAGGGGAAGAATGAGAAAAGGAAGGCCTTCTGGGCTCTGATCCCAAACAAAATGGTAAAGTCCGTGACTTTTACAGAGACCCACGCCGACACCTGTCCCACACTGGTCCACATAGGACTGACTTCTTTAGCTCTGTCTTCTAGGTGTATAAGATTTGGGGTAGATGGCCTCTTGTCCTAGAGCCTCCATTTCATCATCTGCCACATGGGGATAGTGTCCACAATACCTCACAGGTGGCTGTGAGGACAAAATAAGATGAAACAAGATAATGCCTGTGAAGAACTGCGAAGTGCCAGCATGTAATAGCAATCGTACTAATGATAGCAACAATAACAGCCAATAGTACCAAGCCCCAAAGAAGTGTTACGCACTATGCTAAATACCTTACGTGGGTAATTCAGTTTCTCTTCACAGCAGCAATCAGGTAGGCTCTACCCAGGGCCAGGTACATAGCCTGCGGGGCTCAGGACAAAATGATTCTGCGTTAGGCAGTCCACGAGGAACTGCAGCCTCAGCACCAGGATGAGCTCAGTCTCTGGATTAACGGTGGATAAGTGGCTGCTGCTGAGTCATCTGCCCAACGTGTTGTGGTGCCGCTGGCCCAGCGTAGGAACTGCTACCAACGTGCCCTGCCCTGAGAAGCTGTGGGGTCACATGCCTGACGCCAACTCCTTGACTCCAGGCAAATCCATGTAGCTAGAGCTGACCCAGCCCAGATCAGCACAAAGCAGGGGCCCAAACTGGACTCCCCACTTCAGACCTACATTCCAGAGTAAGTCGCCTGCCCACAATGACAGACGCACAGGGCAGCTTGGACTCTTGCCGCTGTGTGACCACCAGAGCCTTGTCTGAACCAGAAGGCACCTGGACTCCTTACCATCCTCCCCTCCCACCCTGGAAAGCTGACAGGTCCTCCAGAAAGTTGGTGGTGGGCCCACCTGCTCTTCGCCCACCCCTGCACATGGCAGATCCTGAGCCGGTTCCGGTTCTGCTGTCCTGGAGCAGGGACTGGCCTTTCCTCATGTGGAGGTTTAAATATTTCTATGGGTTTAAATATTTCATTGAAAGCCCCTCCAAATGGGAAGGTCACCTGTACCCCATTAGTAGTCCATGGGGCTGGGTTGCACCCTCCCCTCTTCCGATGCCCCTCCCCCTCCTTGTGCTCTCCTCTCATCAGCTCCCTCTCTCTGCAGGCTGTAAGGCTTCACTCTGTTACTTGCTGACCCCTCCTAACTGCCTCCACCAAACTGGGAAGCCCCTCTTCCTTCAGGCTGCCCCCCCCCCGTGGGCCTCCAGGTGTCCTGACATTGCCTGGGGAGGGGACACCAGAAAGCTGCAGGCTGAGTCTCTGGGCCTACCAGCCCCAGCCCAGGGTGGGGGGGCCCTAAAAATCTCAGGGACAGAGCCCAGGCCCTTAGCCCTTCTACCCCTGGGGCAGCTTAAGGAAGAACATCCTGTGTCCCTTGCATTCAAAAAGGAATTTGGGGGTATGAGTTAACCTAAGAGGGGTGTCAGTTAGGGTGGTGGTGAATATAATGTCATTACTGAATGCTTACTCACGACCAAGTGCTGAGCTAGGTATCAAAACACTCACAAAAACTCTAGGTTGCACATACCTTACAGGCAATGAAACCAAGGCACAGAGAGGTGGGGTAATAATAGAAACTACTGAACAGGATCACGGAGAATGAATGAGATAATTACTGTAAAACCTATATCTAATACCTTCATGTCACTGGTTAAGAACTCTTTAGTCCATGATAATAATGGCATTGACATTATAAGGGAATTAGACTTTTAAACTTTCATCTTAAACTGGGGATTTTTAAACATGTTGTCTTAAAAACTAAAATACAGACTCTATCATAAATATTTGTTATATGTTGTGGATGCCCAGCTCTCCGAACACCCCTCCGCTAAGTCCCTCCCCGCTACCACATGGAAGCAATAAATCAGCCTTCCCAGACGGCTTCGTGTCCAGCGTGTGTGAGACTGTGACCTGGGCTCAGAGTCATTTGAAGGCATGAGCACCAGCTGATATTATAAAAGTGACTGTAGCAGCCAAGTGGTAAAATAGTAGTTAATAACATTCTTACATGTTCTCCTCTCTAATGAACTTCTCATTGGAAGGAAGGCTTTTGGGATTCAATGTTTGCTGCCATAGAATGACATGAAAGACAAGAATTGGGGGTGGAGTGACTTCCAACTATTCTGTAGAATTTAGAGACATAAAAGGGTAAGCTCAAAGTCATATCATATTGGCACAAGATATGGCCAGAGGATCAGAAACATTCTGAAACTCAACTATGACTGAACTATGAACTATGTCGTCTCTTGCAACTGAAGAGCCAAAGGAGCCAAAATCTAAAATCAGACTTTAAGAATACAATTTGCCACACCTTACTTTGCATACACATGTGTGTGTGTGTGCGCGCACACACACACACACACACACACAGCATCAGATGGTCAACAAGCACATGAAAATAAACTCAACAGCATCAGAGAAGTGCAAAATAAAACCCCAGTGAGACACTACTCATCCTCACTAGCGTGGGTAAAAGTAAAGAGGTGGGCAGCGCCAAGTGTTCTGGCAGATGTAGAGCAGCTGAAACTCTAATCCCTTCTGCCAGGAGAATAACTGGTAAGGCCACATGGAAACTTCTTTGGCAGTTATTTCCTAAAGCTGAACATACTCCTAACCTATGATTCAGCAATTCCATTTAAGAGTCTATAAGGTCTATCTGGAGGAAGTCCAGCCATTGTTAATATAACGAGAATGGTTTGCGTGACATCAATGTAACCTGGCAGCCAAGGAGAGTGGGCTAGAATGCACAAGCATGAACAATGACGACTTCACTTTACTAGTCTGTGGGGACAACAGATGCCATTGAGTGAGCATGTGTACCTTGCTGCTGTCGCACTCAAAATGACTAAGCGAGCAGAGCAACGAATCTCCATCAAATTTTGCATTAAGCTTGAACAGTCCTCCATAGAAACTATTCAGATGACTCAGAAAGCTTTTGGGGACAATGCAATGAATGCGGCACAAATAAAAGTGTGGCACAAATGCTTCAAAGATGGTTGAGAAGCTGTTGAAAGTGATCCATGTTCTGGAAGGCCTGCAACAAGCAGAACACCTGAGAATGTGGAACATGTGTGGGTTGCAATCAACAGAGATCGGCGACTGACAGTGCGAGAACGAGAAGCCGATCTGGGGATTCCAAAAACTACTGTGTCTGAGATTTTTGACGAGGGATCTTGGCACGAAACGTGTCATGGCAAAATTGGTCCTGCGGCTTCTGCTACCAGAGCGGAGGAACATTGTGCTGCAGTTGGGAGAACTGTGTGAGGTCCCAAGGTGCCTACTTTGAAGGAAACTGAGGTTTCATTGTCCTATGTACAATGTTTCTTGTATCTTGTATCCTCGTCAATAAATCTATTTTTCATTGTACATGGCTGGATACATTCTGGACAGGCCTTGTACACCCAAGAGAAGTTAGAAATACCCAACAGAAATATGTCCACCAAAGTCATGTACAGAGATGTTCACAGAAAGTTTATTTACAACATCTCCAAAGTAGACACGATCCAAAAGTCCATCAACCATGGAACTAATAAATAAATTCAATGCTGGCTGGTGTGGCTCAGAGAATTTAGCTCCAGCCTGTGAACCAGCCTGTGAACCAAAAGACTGCCAGTTGCATTCCTGGTCAGGGCACATGCCTGGGTTGCGGGCCAGGTCTTCAGTTGGGGGCGTGTCAGAGGCCACAGTTCCATGTATCTGTCATGCACCAATGTTCCTCTCCCTCCTTTTCCCTCTCTAAAAATAAATAAATAAACTCTTTTAAAAATAAATAAATTCATGTCTATATCATAAAAGACTGTATAGCAATGAAAAAGAACAAACTAAGGCTAAATGTAAAAACATGAGTGAATCTCAAATACCTAATGTTAAAAAGTCAGATCCCAAATAATGTTATATACATATGTTAAGACTCCACTTACATGAAATTCAAAAAACAAAGTAACCTAGGCTGACAGTAGTCAGAAGAGTCAAGAGCTCGAGTAGGGGATTATTGCCTGAGATGGGGTATGAGGGAGCCTTCTGGGTGCTGGAAAAGTTTTCTA